CGGCAAGGACTGCGCAGCAGGGCCACCAGAGTCAGAAGACTCCTCAACCGAGTCCACCGATGGAAGGGGGGTGACGTGGGACACACAAGTGGGGGCAGGACGGGGAGGACGGGGGGGGGGGGCAGGGACTACCGGGGAAGGAGTGACCAGGAACAGGGGGGGGGTAACCGGGGGACCGCGGTGGGGGAAGCGACGGTAGTAGGAGACAGACTTGTCAAAGGTGACGTCGCGAGAGTGAAAGAAGCGGTGAGACGGCGGGTGGTAAAAGTGCCAGTCGGACGCGTCAAGGGGAAAGCCGAGGAAGACGCAGGGAAGGGTGCGGGCAGTGAGCTTGTCCGTGCCGGAGGCACGGACGTGAGCAAGGCAGCCCCAGACGTGGAACGCAGACGCGTCACCAGGAGACCCAGTCCAAAGACGGGTCGGCGAAACCTGCGGCTGCTGAGGGTGCGGCCACAGGTTAAGCTGGTGAGAAGCGTAGCGCACAGCGAACGGCCACAGAAAATGGGGTGCACCAGCATGGATCATGGAGGTGCGAGCAACCTCCATGACCAAACCGATGCGTTGCTCAGTGACCCCTTTCTGCTGTGGGGAGTCCGGTAGGGTGAACGTCTGGGTGATGCCCTCCGCACGACAAAAGCGACCAAGGACACCTGAGGCAAACTCGCCACCACGGTCGGAGTGAAGATGCAAGACAGGGAGACCACGGTGGACACGCGCAGAGACAAGCCAGGGGATGAGAGCGCCAGGCACGTCGGCCTTGCGCTCCAGGGGAAAGACTGTGGTGTAGCGAGTAAAGTCGTCGACTAGCACAAGGAAGTAGCGCTCGCGATGCGGCCCTGGGACGGGGGCGGGGCCCCAGACTTCCAGGTGCAGGGTCTGCAGCAGCGCGGCGGTAGGGGGAAACGAGGAGGAGTGAGGGGCACGGCGAAGCCGACCCTCGACACAGGGCGTGCAAGGTGGGGCTGGGGAGGAGGGAAACGCGGGGAGAGAACCTGGGAGACCAAGGACAAGACCGTGCTGGGACATGTGACGCAGACGCGGGAGCACAGGGTGACCGAGGCTGTTGTGCCAAAGGAGAGTCGGGTGAGTGAGGGACCGACAGGAGCAGGCAGAAGCAACCTGGGTAGACGCAGCCACCTGAGGGAGCGCTCCAGCCGGGGGGGTCACGGTGTCCAGAGTGAACAGGCCGGACACCGGGTCCCGGGGGAACGTGGACAGGGGGGCACCCGTGGCGGCCTCGGTACAGACAGCATACCGCTCGTGACCAGAGAACGCAGTGGTGACGCCAAGGTCCTGGAGGCAGCCGACACCAACTAGGTTCCTGGAGAACGAGGGGATATGCAGACCTGTGAGAGTGCCCGAAGGAACCGCCGGACAGGGAAGGGTGGTGGAACTGCGGGCGACTACCGGACCGCCGGAGGGGTCAGCAAGAGAAACTGCAGCAGGAACTGGAAGCGGCGTCAGTGTGGTGAAGTCGCGGAAGAAACACCGGGAAGCACCAGAGTCCAAGGTGATGGAAAGCGAAGCAGAGGCGTCTGGCGACGGAACGACGGCGGAAGCACCAAGACTACACAAAGCAGGGGATCCTACGCCTGACGCAGCAGGGGAGGCTAAGCTAGGCACACCTACACTATCCGACAGTGAGTAATAAGCGGGAAGCACACTAGAGTCATCAGCATACATCACATGCAGAGCAGAAACAATGGCATCCATGTCCATGTCAAAAATCTGAATCTTACGACTAAGCAAACTGTGCTAGTCCGGGAGGTCTGGCGACGGGCCGAAGCGCTAACGAAACAGGTCGTCCAGGCGACGAAAACAGCGGGGAGTGGAGTGACCGATCTTACCGCAAACGAAGCCGCGGCGAGGACCGGTCTGGATCTGGTACTGACAACGCACGCCTCCAGAACCACCACTCGGCACACCACCACGCGTCCGACCACCGCCAGCGCCGGGCCACCCGGGCGGGAGGACACTCGTCTGCCGCGTCTGCGGCAGGTGCTGCGAAGGCTGCGGCTGCTGCGACTGCGGCGGCTGCTGCGGCTGCTGCTGCTGCTGCTGCGACTGCAGGGGCGGCGGCTCAGCTGGACTGGGCAGGGTCCCCTCGTCCGCTCCAGCACCTGACGACCCGACTCCACCACCACCCCCTCCCGCACCCCCGCCTCCTCCGCCGCGCCCAACCTTGGGGCGGCGGCCCTTCCCCGAACGAAACTGCGCTGCAGCAGCAGTCTCAGCCATAGCGGCAGAGCCGTCGGAGAAAGTACACTGAGCGGGGGCACAACCCTGAAAGATAGGGACCGGCACGGTACCGCTCGCCTGTGCGATGGAGCGGTGGCGGGTCTCAATCACAGTCAGGGTGTCTACAAAGTCAGTGAGGGTGAGGTCTGCGGGGTGAATGCTAAGGAAGCGGTCGCGGGCGACAGCAAGGCGGTCAGGGAGGCGGGTGGCAAGCAGGTAAAGGGTAGAGGTAATGGGCGGCTGGTGGGCTCTAAGCTGTGCGTCAGTTCAGGCAGCGCGCCAGGTCTCATCTATCGAGCGCAGGTGGGCAGCGAGGTCAGAGACAGTGGGGAAAGACGCAAGGTCAGGAAAGAGCATCGGGAGGATCAGGCGACCCACCGAGGCAGCCGGAGGGGTGGAATAGCGCTTGATGACAGCATCTAAGTAAGCCTGGGCAGTAGTGAGGGACCTAAAGCGGGGGCGCTTGGACGGGGGAAGGGCATTGCTAATGGCTAGCTGAGCGACAGCATCTCGAGAAAGCCAGACAGAGCGCGCACGGGCAGTGGCTGCAGTAGACTCGCGCTCAGTGGGTGCGGAGTCAGCGGGCAGAACAGCAGGGGGGTCTGGGCAGGGGAGCGTACCGTCAAGGTGTGCGGAAAGCGGCTCACCATCCTGCCGCTGGCCAGTGAGTTGACGCCGGAGGTCGGCAATCCACGCCTCGAACTCTAGAGGCTGGCCTTCAGCGTCGAAGCGAAGCTCCGCCGCCATCAGGGGCAGTGCAGGACTGTACAGTGCGGTGCAGTGCAGAGCAGGGCAGTGCAGGGCGGTGCAAGGCGATGCAGGGCGGTGCTGTGCGGTGCAGTGCGGTGCAGCGTAGTGCAATGCGGTGCGGTGCGGTGCAGTGCGGTACAGTGCGGTGAAAGGTGGTGGAGAACCGTACCAGGGAGAGTGCAGATCGGACGGTCGTAGGGCCGGCGAGGAAGGGCCGGAAGTCGACGCAGGGCCGGCCGGGACAAGCGCGGGAGCCGGCTCGGACGGGCGCGGGAGCGGCAGGGACGGGCGCGGGGCCGGCTGGAACGGGCGCGGGGCCGGCTGGGACAGGCGCGGGACCGGCTGGGACGGACGCGGGGCCTGCTGGGACAGGCGCGGGGCCGGCTGGGACGGGTGCAGGGGCGGCATGGACGGGCACGAGGGGCCAGCTGGGACGGTCGCGGGGCCGGCTGGAACAGGTGCAGGGCCGGCTGGGAGGGGCACGGGGCCGGCTGGGACGGTCGCCGGGCCGGCTGGGACGATCGCGGGGCCGGCTGGGACGGTCGCGGGGCCGGCTGGGACGGTCGCGGGGCCGGCTGGGACGGTCGCGGGGCCGACAGGGACGGTCGCGGGGCCGGCTGGGACGGGCGCGGGGCCGGCTGGGACAGTCGCGGGGCCGGCTGGGACGTTCGCGGGGCCGGCTGGGACGGTCGCGGGGCCGGCTGGGACGGGCGCGGGGCCGACTGGGACGGTCGCGGGACCGGCTGGGACGGTCGCGGAGCCGGCTGGGACGGTCGCGGGGCCGGCGGGGACGGTCGCGGGGCCGGCTGGGACGGTCGCGGGGCCGGCTGGGACGGTCGCGGGGCCGGCTGGGACGGTCGCGGGGCCGGCTGGGACGGTCGCGGGGCCGGTGGGGACGGCCTAGGAATGCGCGACGGGCTAGGAAAGGCGCGACAGGCTAGGTAAGGCGCGACGGGCTAGGAGTCGCGCGACAGGGCCAGGAGGCACCAACGGGGGGGCCCAGGAGGGGCGGGACGGGTGCTAAGGGGGCGCGACGGGCCCAGGGGGGCGTGACGGGGCCCAGGGGGGCGTGACGGGGCCCAGGGGGGCGTGACGGGGCCCAGGGGGTGTGACGGGGCCCAGGGGGGCTTGACGGGGCCCAGGGGGGCGCGACGGGCCCAGGGGGGGGGCGCGACTGGTCCTAGGTGACGCGACGGGGCCCAGGGGGGCGCGACGGGCCCAGGGGGGGGCGCGACTGGTCCTAGGTGACGCGACGGGGCCTAGGGGGCGCAACGCACGGGGGTAGATCCTAGGGCGGAAGCGTGGGGGGGCGGTGGGACCTACCTACTGCTGATATTATCTTAGAACTGAAGTGTTAAGGTAGAGAGAGAGAGTACAAGGGTATATACCTAAGAGTGTTGTACCCTCTAAGAGGCGACCCTATACAGTCTATACAAACATGAGTTATGCTTATGTTTGACAACAGCTGGTTCGTGGTATGCTTATATCCACTACTAGTGTCACTGACATCTATTACGGAATATTTACTAACGGTGTCTCGTTTTCCTCCTAAATGGAACGTTTTGGAAGGCCAAACAGCGTAAAGGCTAACGGATGAAGCCTACTAGCGAAAGATAACCAGCCACCTTGTACAGACTGCCCGCGTCTACGTGGAAGATACGGCCTTTGCCTGTCCCTTGTAGCCACACCCTTGTTAGCTGATGCGCACGACGATTGCATCTGAACCACACATCCGACCGAGTGGATAGCTTGAAGCCACAGGTCCCTGACCGGGCAGGGATCAACGCCAGCAAGGTGAGAGATTCCACCTGGGCAATCAATGGTGCGCCTTGAGGCTCGGCGTTTGCTTGAGACAGGGCAGTCCACGTGGCTTGAATGACTAACTTCTCTCCACCCTTCTGGTGCCACATCAGCCTCGATCTTCCTGCTCGTTGGTTGTTCTCCATTTGGTGCCTTTGGTTAACGAAACACGCTACAAACGAGTACGAGCTCCGGGGAAACACACACTTGCACAATCCCTCCCTGAGCCTCGTACTTGTCCATCGAGATTGTCCCTAGTTTCCTAACTGCAGTTACTATTCCGCTCGTGTCTCGTGGAGGTTCTCCTAAAAAAACTGACACTGAGCAATCACCTCCTGGTTTACTCACCAGCAATCATGGCATCCCTCGTCGCCAAGGCCCCCGTGGCAGCGCAGGCCGCGACTCTCAAGTCGTCGTTCCTGGGCTCCAAGCCCCAGGCTAAGGCCGCCAGCGCTGCGCTGCCAGTGAAGAAGGCCAACGCGCGTGTGGTGTGCCAGGCTGGCGATCGCTGGGGTGCTCTGGGCCGCGATGGGTCCGACGACCAGCAGGACATCACCCGCGGGTTCGGCATGGTCGACTCCGCCTTCCAGGTGAGCCGCTGGATGCCAGCTGGTGCATCCAGAGGACAGACTACTGAGAGGAAGAAGCTGCGTTCCATGTGTACGGCTTAAGCCGAGAGTTTGCAAGTGATTGATTTCGTACTGATTGATCTCGTCGCCGTGACTGGCGTGCAGGGTGCCCAAGGCCTTGGTACGCACAAGGCTGTCCTGTCCTCGTACGACTACGTCAGCCAAGGCCAAAGGAGGTACGTCCGTTAACACCCTAGACATCGATTTTCCGTCATCTTAATACCTATGAACTGCCTACTTGCCCCATCCTCACCTGCTGGCATGCTAGTTTGTCAACGAGTCAGGTAGCCGAGTTTCTTAACTCGTTTTCCGTGGATGTTGTCAAAAATTTATTCCGAAACGGCATGAAATGTTTGTCAGAATTCTTATTTTCTAACCGTCATGACATGCTTCTCCTGAATTGTCGTGGATGTGCTGACGTGGATGCTGTGCCATGACACGGTGCTTGCAGCCTGCAGTGGGACAACACCAAGGACGGCTACTACATCGCGCCGGCCTTCATGGACAAGGTCGTCGTGCATCTCGCCAAGAACTTCATGAAGCTGCCCAACATCAAGGTAAAGCTACCTGTCGTAGTTTTCCTGATACACGAACTAGCATGCTTCTTAAGTTTTTGCAGCTCGATTACCTCGCTCTTGCCTGCATTTTTTTGTGTTTTCAATTTCGCAAGTCAGTACGTGCCCGCCTTCGTTGCAGGTTCCTCTCATTCTGGGAGTGTGGGGAGGCAAGGGTCAGGGAAAGACGTTCCAGATGGAGCTCATCTTCTCCAAGCTCGGCATTAAGTAAGTTTCGTCTCCACGCTGGAGCATTCCTGTTTCCCATAAGCACTCACCGAGGCATAAAAACGTTCCAAAACTTTCAAATTTGAGTACTTTCCAAGGCCCTCCAAAGGTCCATCGTCTATTTCTACCTGTCGTAAAATCACTGGTTCGCGTAAAGATCTTATCTCACCCTCTTTCCGATTAATCCTCCGCTCTCCACCCGCTCTTCCCCCCGCCAGCCCCATCATGATGAGCGCCGGTGAGCTGGAGTCCGGAAACGCCGGCGAGCCCGCGGCTCTGATCCGTCAGCGGTACCGCGAGGCGTCGGACGTGATTAAGAAGGGCAAGATGTGCTGCCTGTTCATCAACGACCTGGACGCGGGCGCTGGGCGCATGGGCGGCACGACGCAGTACACGGTGAACAACCAGATGGTGAACGCCACGCTCATGAACATCGCCGACAACCCCACCAACGTGCAGCTCCCGGGCATGTAAGGATCTCCCCTGTCTGTCTGTCTGTCTGTCTGTCTGTCTGCCAATCGGTTTGGTCGGAGAGTAGCCGTCTGCTGGATTAGGTTCGGATTGACGACATGCCGTCAGTTCTGGAGGGGACAAAGAAGGGTGAGATGTGCTGTCTGTTTTGGTCTTGGTCAACGCCCTTGACGCCGGTACGGACGGCACGACGCAGTACACGGTGCACAACCAGATGGTGAACGCCACCCTCATGAACATCGCCGACAACCCCACCAACATGCAGCTCCCCGGCATGTGAGTGCCTCTCCGGCATGTGACTGAGCGTAGTTCCTGGTCTTAGCAGCTCCTGCGTGAGGAGTGATGATGGATTGTGCGTTTGGTCGTGGCGAGGGCTGTATGGCAGGAAGTTTGCTCGTGGTCCGCATCCTTCCCCGGCCGTATCTCCTCCAACTGGCGTTCCCCATACGACTTGCTCACCACAGCAGGTACAACGAGGACGAGATTCCTCGTGTGCCCATCTTCGTGACGGGCAACGACTGACCATGTTCCGGTCTTTCCCCCCCCTTGCTACGTGCCCGCTCTGCAGGTACAACAAGGACGAGATCCCCCGTGTGCCCATCATCGTGACGGGCAACGACTTCTCCACCCTCTACGCACCCCTCATCCGTGACGGGCGCATGGAGAAGTTCTACTGGGCGCCCACCCGCGACGACCGCGTCGGCGTCGCCCAGGGCATCTTCCGCCTGGACGGTGTGCCCGAGGATGACGTCACGCAGCTCGTCGACACCTTCCCCGGCCAGTCCATCGGTATGTAGAGTCTAAATCTGCCTCTGGAGTGATTTCGGTTGCCCTAGATACGCTGTAGTAGTCTTCAGTGTGACTCAGGGCATCTTCCGCCTCGATGGCGTTCCCCAGAATCACGCATCTCGTTGACACCTTCCCCGGCCAGGCCACAGGCGTGCGCGATACTTGTTTTTTGTCGTGTGCCTTTGTGGTGTGTCCCTTCAAGTATCACTCGTCCTGAGAGTCTCATTCGTCGCCCCAGGGCATCTTCCGCCCTATGCCCAGGTGGGTGGCGAAGGTGGGCGTGGACGAGGTGTCGAAGCACATCGTGACTATCTGACTCAACCCCTCCACCGCTTTCCACCACTCCCTTTCCCTTCCCCCCCAGATTTCTTCGGCGCTCTCCGCGCTCGCGTGTACGACGACGAGGTGCGCAAGTGGGTGGCAAAGATCGGCGTGGACAATGTGTCAAAGCACCTGGTGAACTCGCGCACGGGCCCGCCCAAGTTCGAGCAGCCGCCCATGAACCTGGCCACTCTGTTGGCGTACGGCAACATGCTGGTCAAGGAGCAGGAGAACGTCAAGCGCGTGCAGCTCGCTGATACTTACCTCGCGTCCGCTGCTCTGGGCGACGCCAACAAGGACCAGATGGAGCAGGGCACCTTCTTCGAAGGTGCATTGATTTCTGGCAGCAGTTCTTGTAGTGATTTGGGAGGGGAGTTTTGGACGGGGGTGAGAGCTGAAGCGGGTGAAGAGAGCAGTGAGGGGGGGGACAGGTCCGTGCTGTTGCTAGCGTTATGCTCCGGACCAATGTGCCAGTCCCGTGACTAACGGTGACGCATTTCTGGTGCCAAAGAGGATTTCTGCCATCTTCTCTGCTCCTTCCCCATGCCACAATATTCTTCATCCTCTGCTATCATTTCCCCTAACCACAAACACTTCCCCCCCTCCCCCACCTCCCCCTTTTACTCTCGTCATCCTGATTCCTGACCAGGTGGCTATGCCCAACAAGTGGGAGTGCCAGTGCCAGCAGGTTGCTCTGATCCCAATGCTGTCAACTATGACCCTACCGTGCGCAGCGACGATGGCAGCTGTGTCTATGACTTCGCCCAATAAGCTCCCCGCTACGTTTGGGCTCATTCAGTACTCTGCTGTGTTGTGAATGTGTGTTTTGACTAGGATGTCCCACCCTTATATATAATGTTTTCGTCCTGCAGGATGCTCTTTCATACGGTATGTATGCTTATGCCACACTGCAGATCCATTCCATGCCCCGTACACAGACAGGTATCCCCACAATGGTACCATATGAGGGTGCTTGGTGTGTTGCTGTGTAAGGCAGCCACCTGTCAGGCTCCCATTGGCACCACTCTGACCCCTATGAGCTGACTACACAACTTACCAAACCATAATCAGCCCCAAGTTCTAACTAAGGTAGTTATGTACAGTAACTGTATGTTCCACGCCCTAAGGCATAGTACAAGTGTGGAACATACAGTGAAATGCATGAGCTGTTAACTTATACATATGTGGTGTATGAATAAGTTATGGTAGGCCAGATGGGTTAGTGCTCTTAGAGAGGACAACAGCCAACCATATATCCAACTTGTATGCCTTGCTAGAGTTAACTTAATTATTCTAACATGGTATCACGCTAGGTAGCTTCGTCGGCCCCAGCTCGGCGCCAGCCCCAACGCGCCGCGCTGGCCCTAGCTCGCCGCCGGCCCCTGCTCGCGACGCCGGCACTAGCTCGTCGCGTCGGCCTTTGCTCGCCGCGCTGGCCCCAGCTCGCTGCCCGCCCCTGCTCTCCACCGGTGCCTGCTCGTCGCGCCGGCCCCTGCTCATCGCGCCAGCCCCTGCTCGCCGCACCGGCCTCTCCTCGGCTCCGCGCTAGCCTCTACTTGCCGCCGGCCCCAGCTCCACCGCTCTCCACTGCAATCCATCGCCCTCTGTTGGAAATATCTCAAAGAACTTAAGCGTTTCTGAAGTGTAACACTACACTCGAGGAAGACTACAAGGGAGCACGCGAGTCAACGGAGGTTACACGAGGGGGCGGACAAAGAATGCGAAAGGTCGCAACTGGAGGTTGCGACTGACCGTTACAGCATCATGGATGGTAACCGAAGTAGCAATCGAGTCGCTGTACGACTCGATAAACCGTTCCTGTAACTGTACTCTACAACTGCTTTCTTATCTTCTGTATATTGCTGTATGCTTGTTCCCTTAATCAATCACTTGTTCTCACATACTAGTACAAGGGTTCAACTGCCTCAACTTCCGCTGCACTACTCCAAGTCTCAAGTCTCTACAAGCTGGGACTTAGTCTCTGCAAAAGATCCTAAGGGCTTTTTCTCAGCCCAACATGGTATGAGAGCTGGTCAGAGACCAAACTCCCAGCAACTACGCTCCATCAACAACCTGCAACTCAACTCAATTCAACGACTTCATTGATTACAAGACATGGACAGCAAGGGCAAGAAAGTCTCTACGGGCTCACCCAGTGCCCAAGAAACTCAACACGGCAACTCTGGTCTGCACACCTCAGGACTGCAGACAGAGACCGGGACTGCTCAAGAAACAACGGGAAGAGCACCGGAGATGGTGACTCCGTCTCCCTCTTCAAGTGTGGACCCGAATCTCATGGAGAGATTCTTCAGCTTCATGTCACACTTCGACCAGCAGCAGCAGATAAGGACACCTGCGCACTCAACACAGAGCAATGGAGGGAATATGGGATTAGCGCCGATGAGCCTCGACAACTCATCCTTCGGGCGACACAATCAAGCACCTACTTTTGCGCCTTATCACTCTTCACCGGGGACGTTCGAGTTCATGCCGCCCCGTGCCCAGCCAACAGCAGCTGCATCACAACAAACACCGAACGAAATCTTAAGTCTTCAGGCACAGTTCTCACACGTAATTAAACTTCAGACATCCTCACCGTTCAACGGACACGACTTCTTTACCTGGAGCTTCGAGTTCGAGCTGCTGATGGAGGCCGCGCATTTTGGGATACTTCAACGGGTCCCTGCCATTCCCAAGCAACGGCACTGGGAAGGAACAAGAAATCTTCACGTATCAGTCGCTGCTGGCGTATACGGTACTCCTGAGAAACCTGTCACCACAAGAGCAGCAGAGCATCAGAACGTATCGAAGTTATGGAAACTCCGCGGAACTCGCATGGCATCATCTCAAGTGCCTCTATCAAGCAAACGACAGCGTGACACAAAGCAGACTCATGCAACAGCTGACAACAATACAGATGAAGACCGGGGAAAAGGCGATGCAGTATATGAGTCGCTGCCAGACCCTCCGCGACCGCCTGCTTCGGTGCGGAGGAACGATCACTGAAGAAAGCTTCGTGACACTTGTCCTCGCCGGGCTCGGGCCAGAATGGAGAACCACACGATCACTTCTTCGAGCCCACGGAAGAATTTCGGAGATGCACCTCTGCGCCGAGCTTCACGCTGAACAACAGGAGATGGATCTGTTCGAGGAAAGACAACCAAGAAAGCAACAGCAGTTAGTCTTCTACACTCAACGAAGAAACGACAACACCTACAATCGACGCGGCAAGCAAGAACGCGACAACAGGGGACTTACCTTCGTGCCGCCGTTCTGCCACAACTGCCAGACTTCCGGGCACTCCAAGGTCAACTGCAACCGCCCTCGCGTTTACCGTCCAGCAGACCCACAAGTCGCTTCCACTCAAGCAAGTCCCCCAAGGCGCTCTTCAACATCTGCACAACAAACACCAAACATCATCAATTGCATGGTACACATCGACAACTGCGCACCCGGATCACCACCCACCTACGCGCCAGACGAAGAAGAGCTGCCGCCACCGCGCTCACAAGGCCTTCAAGTCAATCCAACATATGTTGCGGTCGCCAACGCCGAACCCACCGGGCGAAACACCTGGTTCTTGGACAGCTGCTGCGGTCAACACATGTGCTCCTCGGGACGCTTCGTGCAACAGGAGAAACGCCTCAACCGCGACGTCGTCATCACCGTCGCCAACAACGAAAACCTGAAGACAAACAGACAAGGCGTGGTTCAGTTACAATCGATGGAGACAAACGTCATACTTCAGCTCAACAAAGTGCTCATTGTCGACAATCTGGGATACAACCTACTAAGCGTAAGCCAACTAATGGCCAAGGGGATTCACCTGGAGTGCGACTCCTACTCCAACGAGTTTCGACTTTACCACGGGAAGGGTGGCCTCTTCATCGGTCGTGCCCTCCTGAAGTCCGGCGTCTTCGTGTTGGACTTCGTCCCCGACCGCGGTACTGCCGACAGCGACGGTATCGTATCATTCGCCGCCTGGACTCACCCGCCGGATCTTGATCCCGACTTCGACAGTGACGGCTTCTGGCACTCCAACACCATACCTGCAGCAGAGAGAACACGAGCATTAGCAGTTATCAGACAAGAAAGACAAGTACCCGCACGTGTCCTAACAAAACCATCACCTGCAGTATCGGCAGCAGGACCCAGCCGAGTACCACCACCAGCGACACGAGGACCACCAACCGAAGCAGACCAACTTATGCCCGCCACACGAGAAGCTTGTCGAAGTCCCGCCTCGGTCGTCGCGTTCTTCTCCAACGCCGACATCTACCACCGCTCGCCTGGTCACCGCGCTCCCGATGACATCTGGCACCAACGTCTCGGACATCCTGCAAACAGCACGATACTTCAAACAATCCAAGCAGATGTGTTAGAACGCAACGCCCTTCTGACGACGAGCGGCCAAGAACTTCGACGACCACGCGCACAGTGCTTCACATGCCCCGAAGCAGATCTTCCTCATCAACCTTTCCCATCCCATCACAACCCAAGCGCACCTACTTACGCTCCGATGGAAAAGGTCTACAGCGATATTTTAAACATGCCTCGAGACGACACCGAAGCCGACTTCAACTACGTCATCATGTTCATCGACGCCGCAACAAGATATGTCTGGCACTTCAATCTCAAGACGCGCGATCAAGCCTTCGAAGCCTTCACAACATGGCTTCCCATCGCCGAACGAGAATCAGGACTCAAACTCAAGAGCTTCCAGTCAGACGGTGCACTGGAATACCAGTCACAACGCTTCAGGACCTATCTGGCGGAAAGAGGAATCAGACGCCTGGTGTCCCTGCCCTATGCTCACCAACAGCAGGGGGTCGCAGAACGCATGAATCGGACCTTGCAGACGACAATGCGAAAACTGCTTCAGGGGATGAGACTGCCAACCACACTGTGGTCCGACGCGATGACACATGCTGTTCACCTGCACAACCTGCTGTCCTCGTCATCACTTCCCAACAACGCATCACCGCACCTGTTGTGGACAAGAAAAAGGGGCAGCACAAAATTACTCAGAGTTTTTGGCTGCATGGTACAGTACAGACCCCACACAGCCCGAGCAGGACGCTTCACACAACGAGCTCGGTGGGGACTACACCTCGGCATCGCAAAACATTTTCACGCGTGGAAAATTCTCGACATACAAGACAAAAATACCGTGGCATCACGTGATGTTATCTTCTACGAGCGACTGACGCTGCAGCATTACCTGGACAACATTGCCAACACACAAGACCCCACCGACGGCTTCTCGGGACTTCGTTCCTTCGCCGACCGTGCTGCCGAAGCTGACGCAGCAGAAGAAGACGTACCTGAAGCCTCGGAAGCTGCCGGACCACTCCCATTCTGTTCCGTACCTGTTCCACTCGACGAAGACAATCCTCTCGATAGCGACAACCTCGACACCTTTTACCACTTCGCTGACCAAGGTTACATTACACCCCACCCAGTCGACACAAATGTTTCAGAACGCATCGGTCCCAACTTCTTACCTGACCCAGAAGACGGTGACGAAGCAGCTTATTCCGGGAATGAAAATTCCCCTCGACACACACCCACGGGACTGCAGATTCTAGGCCTCTGGGTCTCCGTCCAGCATCCGCCGCCGCCTTCTCCGCGAGAACCTTCGACCTTGTCGCAGGCTCTGGGGGGGGAACATAAGGCGAAATGGAAGGAAGCGATGGAAAATGAGTTAAAGGCTCTGCAAGACCGGAAAACATGGAAACTGGTACCTGCAACAAGCATCAACGGAAAAAACGTCCTCTCAGGGAAATGGGTGTACCGCATCAAGACCAACTCAGACGGCTCCATCGAACGATTCAAAGCTCGATGGGTCGTACGAGGCTTCGACCAACGATACGGGACCGACTACACAGAAACCTTCGCTCCAGTCTCCCGTCACACCTCATTACGCATCCTACTCGCCGTCGCGGCCACGAAGACACTACCACTACGCCAAATCGACGTCGCCAATGCGTTCCTATACGCACCTGTGGACGCTGAGATTTTCGTCGAACAACCCCACGGATTCATCGACGACCCCACGA